AACCTCTTAACTCATTTTACAAACAAATTGTTTAATGCTTTACACAACTATAATTACAGCAGCAAAGATGGAGCCCCAAAAAAACGGCGAACTGAATACGAAATAAAGTCGCCAGATTTTTGGTTGGCCCATAAGAATGATGATGAATTATATATGTCCTTGCTCAAGTTGGAGTTAGAAAATGAAAAACACAATGGACAATGCTATCGTACATTGTGTTTATTAAGTTGTAAACCACTCCCTCATGTTCCACCCACCACATTGTTTTTTCATTCCAACGCAAAAATTTTAAATATATTTCCTTATTCAAAGCCAATCAAAATCGAGTTGGAAAAGTTGGAAATGCTTTTCAAATTTACGCTTCATTTATTTACTTCTATAGTAAATAAAGAGTTTATATGTGAAATTGATCAATTCACATATCTTATTGCACCACTTTTTCAAAATGCACCTGTTAATGAGAATTCATTTGACTTTATTGATTGGTATGAAATTGAGAAGGCAATCACACATAAGCATTTAGAAATTGAATTGAATGATATTTCAAAGTTAGAAGATTCAGTTATAATTGATTACTCTGATAATTTAAGGCATTATTTTATAGAGTCAATCTGTTATGATCTAAATATACTGTCACCAATACCACAGGAAGTGGCCATAAGAGAAAAGGGTTGCAAAAATTTTGGTGAATTTTACAGTAAGACATTTAAAGTTGAAATAAAAAATAATGATCAACCATTACTTCAAGTTAAAGAAATTTCAAGAACCATAAATTTTTTACAGCCTATACCTGATGCATTTTCCATCTTAAAAGAAAGAACAGCAACATATGTGGTACCAGAATTTTGTAAAGAATTTTCAATTAAGGCTTCAGTGTTCAGATCTGCACTTTTATTACCATCTATATTTACAAGATTAGATTCACAACTTTTGGCATTGGAATTAAAACATAGATTGGATCTACCTATTAACAATGAGTATTTGTTGTCAGCATTAACTGCTCCATCTGCAAAAATGGAAATGAACTATGAACGTCTTGAGACTCTTGGTGATTCATTTTTAAAGTTTTGTGTAATCACACAATTATATGTTTTATTTCCTGAAAAAGATGAAGGTCAGCTTCATAATCAGTGTGTTAGCATAGTTTGCAATGAGGCACTTTATAATAATGCAAAAAAACTACAACTGTATGAACATATAAATTCCTTGCCATTTAATCATAAAATGTGGAGACCTGCAAATATGATGACTACTGTTGATGACCCTGAAACTTTTAAAAAAAATAAAGTTCATGATTTAACAGATAAAAAACTTGCTGATGTAATAGAAGCTCTTTTAGGAGCAGCATATTTAACTGGTGAAGAACAGGCAGGGATCAAGTGTGCTAGAGCATTGGAAGTTTCATTTGATGGTATTGTTGAATGGGGTCATGTTCATCAATTGAATAGAAACCCACCACGTGCATTTGTTAAGGATCTTAAAGAACTAGATATTAAGGAGATTGAAGAACTTTGTGGCTACACCTTTAATAATAAGATTTTAATTGCTGAGGCACTTAAACATACCAGTTTACCCAATTCTTCAACTTTGTGCTACAAACGCCTTGAATTTCTAGGAGATGCTATTTTAGGTTTCTTGACAGTAAAACATTTGTATAAGAAATATCCAGATAGTCCACCAGCAATAATCACAAACCTGAAAGATGCATCTGCTAATAACCAAATTGTTGGGGCTATTTGTGAAGTAGTTGGGCTTCATAAACATATTATCCATTCTTCTCCAGCATTATCAAGCAAAATTTCAAATTTTATATCTACAATTGAAGATATAAAAACAAAAGGAGAAAATTATGGACAATATTGGAGTGATTTAGAAGTTCCCAAAGTTATGAGTGATGTGTTAAAAAGTATGTTAGGTGCTGTTTTTGTAGACTCAAAGTTTGATCCTAATGTTCCTCAAAAAATTTTTGATTTATGGATTGAGCCAGTTTTAAGCCAACATGTTACTCTCCTTACATTGAAAGAGCATCCAGTAACAGAACTTGATAAAATAATAAAAAAACATGGATGTGCTAAATTTTCATGGTAAATTTTAACTTTTTATTTTAAAAAAAAAATTGACAATAATTGATTAATTTTTTTTCTTTTCTTTTAGTAATATTACAACAGAAAAAACAAAGGTAAATTGTACAGTATTAATTCATGATACTGTAGTTGGATGTGCAAGTTCTGAGAGTGGTAAAATAGCAAAAAAACTGGCATCAAAAATTGTTTTAGAAAAAATTGAGAAAGATGAGAAATACCTTGATTCTGTATGTAGTTGTTTGGGTTTTCCAAAAAATGATAATAAACAATAATCACCATTAATTGGTTCTTCTTTTTCATTTTCTTACACACACATTCTCAATCAATTGGCATTTTCTTTTTTCTGTTTTTTCTATTGGTAATTAGACTTTTTTTTTGAAGGCAAATTAGTAATGAATGTCTTTATCATAGAATTTTGTTTATTAAATAGCTTGCCTCTCAGGCCCAGTGTGTAAAATCTGAAATGAAACTTATGTGCACATGCGCACATAAAAATAAGGGGCAAGTGTGCGCCAAAAATTTTAATGTGCAGAAAATTAAGATTTTAATGTGCAAAAGTGTGCGTAAATTTTTTTTTTTAATAATTAAAAATTTTATTAATTTCTGTTATTATATCATGGAACATTATTCCAATAATTATATGCTTCATTATAATCAAAACTGGAATAATGTTCACAACCATTAAGTGAAATTTGGAGATGATAGTTGAGTGTTTCTATTGATAATAGGTTTCTCAATTTTGTTTTGATGAGATTTTGATGTGAAAACACTCATTCCACATTACCATGTAGCCTTGTTTTATTGGTTTAAAATTACATAATAATAAAGTTAATTTAATTTATGATTTTTTAATTTTGCATGTTACAAAAGTTAAGTGTGCATATTCGTGCAACTGTGCGCGAAATGTGCGCACTTTTTTTTCATGTACAAAATGTCACACATTTTTAATGCAAGGAGTGTGCAAACCAAAATTTTAATGTGTGCTGGCACACATTTTGCACATGGATTTTACACACCGCTCAAGCCATTGATGCATTAGTTTATTCAAATAATGATTTTACTTTATAAACAGTGCATTAATAATCTTTCCTATTTAAAGACTAATTGGCAATAATTAAATTAAATAACAATTAAAGCATTTGTTTTATTTTCAGCAAGATTTCTGGATATAGGATTATTTCTATATCACAATTGTGATGTTTGGTAAAATTTTATCATTTAGCATCC